ATAGGAAACCATTTGGCAGACTTAATTAAATGAGTGGTCAGAGCAGGTTTTCTTTTTAAGTTTATTCTCGTTGCTGCATTGAGAATGGTCTGAGAAGGAATGGACAAGAAAGATTTGGACAGAGCAGTCAGGTGGTGATAGGTAAGAGAGATCATGGTGAACTGAAGTGGTGGTAGCAATAAGATAGAAGGAGTATTGGACAGGTGTGGAAAGTATTTCTAAGGTAGAATTGATAGGTCTTGCTGATGGGTTGAGTGATCTTTTCCCCTCGCTGCATCCACCCCCTTGGCCATTTAACTTTGAAGTGTCCTCTGCCTCTGTCTCTGGATTTGACCATGTGCCTGGCTTTGGGTAATAGAATGAAGCAGAAGTGCAAGTATGATGCTTCTAAGTCTACAATTTGAGAGGCCTTGCTCTTTCTTGTGTTTCTGTCATCTCCATGAGGACATTCCTGAGGTAGCCTACTGGCATGGAACAGATACGTGGCAGAGACTTGAAGTGCCCAGTCAGCCCAGTTGAAACTTGTCTTCAGTGGTCGACAAACTCATTAGTCAACAGAGCCAAATATCAACAGTACAACTATTGAAATTTCTTTTGAGAGCCAAATTTTTTAAACTTAAACTATATAGGTAGGTACATTGTTATTAACTTAATTCGGGTACTCCTAAGGCTTAGGAAGAGCCACACTCAAGAGGCCAAAGAGCCGCATGTGGCTTGAGAGCCGCAGTTTGCCAACCACTGTGCTATCTTACACAAGGAAGCAAGGGAATAGTCAAAGACCACAGAGGCTTGCCTTGGCCAGTGTGGCTCAGTTCATGCACGGAGAGGTTGCAGCTTAAATTCCTATTCGGTGCACATGCCTGGGTTGTGGGCTTGATCCCAGTAGGGGGCTTGCAGGAGGCAGCTGATTGATGTTTTTCTCTCTGTCTTCCTCCCACCCCCCTCTCTCTTTCTCTCAAATCAATAAAAATATATTTAAGAAAAACACACAGAGGTTTGTCTGAAGGACTCAGGCACCCACAAGAAGAGGACCTCACTGCCTAACTATGGAACAATTTGAGCATCAATAATTGTAGTAGATTGAAACACATTAAAATTTTTATGTTCATGAATGAACAATAATCTATTTTTTAAAAAGGCAACTAATAGGTTACCTTTGGAACATTTTGAAGCTCAACTCATGAACTTGAAAATCTAAAAATAGAGGGAAAAATAGATGTCTCTTTTTCTTATATAAACTGTATATCTGTATAAGTAAGTAGTTGTTGAAACATTATTTCAGGTAATAAAAGCAAAAGAAATATAAAATATCACCACTTTGCAACTCCCAGTGGAGTGGTTGATTTGGGAAAAAATCATCAGTAGGTGCTGGTCCTGAAAACACAGAGATAATCAGACATTCTGCCTCTTGATTGGAGTTCATAACACCATCTATGAAGGAATTTTGCCAAAAGAAATATCTGAATCTGATTAACTGTCTAGGTCTATCAGATAACTTATGGGAAATGAGGAGAAAAACCTGTTGAATGTAATCAGCAAAATCTAGACTAAGGGAAACACTTTATTAATTGTTCAGATTCTTAAACAATTTTTTTTTGAAAAGACAGAGGCAAAGGTGTGGTTTGGTTGGTTGTACTAGTATGTAGTCCCATGCATTGGGGGATATATCTGGTTGAAGAGACATGTCTACCACTTAGGCTATCTGAGCCTTATTTGCATTTGATTTGAATAAAGTATAAAACAAAACAAATTTGAAAAATGGGAACAATTAAAGTCACTTTACAGTGACCAGGCATTTCATGTTATTAATAAATGCTCAATTTAATAAATAAATATTATATTTTTTATTGTGTGTGATAATGACATTTTGATTATTTTTTAAAAGTAACATACATAATATGTATATACACACATACACAAGTTAAATTCTATAATATTTAGTTTTTGCCTCAAAATTGCCAGGAGGGGTGAGAAAAAAGTGAGTAAAGATAAGTTGGTAATTACTGAAGCTCAAAACTGAATAGATGGGACTCATATATTATTTTTTTCTACTTTTGTTTATGTTTAAAACATTCCATTATTAAAACTATTTAACAAGGGAAAACTAAAAGAAGATAGAGATTATTGATATTGTTGCAGATTCCGTTGCTCCCAAGTGTAATATCTAGCGGAATCTACAAATTCTATTGAAAGGGAAGTTACAGGGAATCAAGGAGGAAGGAGATATGTCAAGAAAACCATAAAAACCAGAAAGTTAATATAAAATGTGATTTACTTACATTTTTCTGGCTGATAAATCAGGTTACAATGCATCATATGAAGAGTTATCAGAGCCATAAGTGTAGACATAAAAGGAATAAGTAAAACCAGGACCCAAGCCCCTGAGTGCTGAATGTAAGATATTCCCAGAAAGACAACAGTCACATTTAGGTTCATGATCCAATAAAACCTGAGGTACACAGACAGACAAAAATAAAAACACCATTGAGTTACTTCAGATAGCAACTGCTTATTTTAATGCTTTTATATAAATGTAAGCTATAAAATTGTGGCATGTTGGCTCAAGTACATTTTACAAATATTGGATTTCTAAATAAGTTTATAGTTATCAGCTGTCTTAGAGTTTCATTATCTTTGTTTCATTTCTATTTAGAAGATGTGTAGAAAGTATATTCTCTTTTATCTAATTAGAAGTTGACAGGTATTTTCTGTACAGGGCCTGACATAAATAGCTTAGGCTTTTCGGGTCATATGGTCTTTGCAGCAGCTTCTCAACTGTGTTGTGGAGCTAAAGAAGCCATAGACACCTGCATACACCCAATGAACCTGGAAAGTTACATGGTTAAAGAGTTGAATCTCTATTCCTGGGAAAACTCAGGAATCTTCAGGTTATGTGTGTCTCCTGCATTAAATCAAAGAAATGCTTGTCATTGAATAAAACTTTTAGTGTCTCCTCCTTGTGAATAGGATTTGTAAGTTTGGGGGAAATCATCTCTATCTCTCAATCTTTCCTTGGGTCTAAATCCTGCCCTTAGAATCTCATTGCAGAGGGGTCCTTAATATTAACTTAAAAAATTATTAAGGTGCCGAAACCGGTTTGGCTCAGTGGATAGAGCGTCGGCCTGCGGACTGAAGGGTCCCAGGTTCGATTCCGGTCAAGGGCATGTACCTGGAAAAAATTATTAAGGTAAAATTAAATATAATAAAATTTACCCACTTATATATATAGTTTTATGAGCTATTATAAACGTTTTAGTTGTCCAAACACTAATATACCTAAGTTTTAGAGCACTTACATTATCACTAAAATTTAAAGGACTTGCCTGATTAGACCCAGCCCACTGAGATACCAAGATTATCTCACCTTTGATGACCTCAAAAGTAACTGAGTAGACCTTAATTTCATTGCAAAATCCCTTCACTTTGCCAACCTATATAATAAAAGCCTAATATGCTAAGTGTCCGGTCATCTGGTCATCTGTTCAACCAATCAAAGCATACTATGCTAATGATATGCTTAGGCTGCTAAACCGCTCGCTATGATGTGCACTGACCACCAGGGGACAAACGCTCTGACTGGTAGGTTAGCTTGCTGCTGGGGTCCAGCCAATTGGGACTGAGCGAGATGGGCCGGACATGCCCTGGAGCAAGGGGGAAGATGCAATGAGCTGAGCAGTAAGAAGCAGCGAGCAGGCGGGCCGTAAGGAGAGAGGGAGCCTGGACTGCTAGAAGGATGTCTGACTGCTGGCTTAGGTCTGATCCCCGGCAGGTGGACATCCCCCAAGGGGTCCCAGACTGTGAGGGTGCACAGGCCAGGCTGAGGGATCCCCCTACCCCCAGGGCACGAATTTCATGCACTGAGCCTCTAGTATAACATAAAATAATCATTGGGTGTTATCTGGTCATTGTCATATTCTATTGGGTGGAGTCAGATTACAAGTTATTCCCCCATTCAGAGGGATGGGTCTGTCAAAAGTGTGACCCATTGGGAGTCATCCTATGGAATTTCCTATACATCTAATTGAAGGAGAGAGGAAATGAGGATGCCAAACTAGGTTGTTAATTTAAGACCAGACTCCTATCCTACCTCATTTCTCTAACTGGCTGAGGATGGAGACTTGGCTCCCTGCTGTGCCCAGTTGGCACTACCCAGGAGAATGAATTGGAGCACTGCCAGTTTCTGCTGGACAGGGGATAGAAGACCAGTTCCTCTCGAAGCCTCACTAACACCCCCAGGCTTGGAATCAGAGTGCCCTACTTCTGTTCCTGTGTGTGTGTGTGAGAGAGAGTGAAAGAGGGAGAGAGAGAGAGAGAGAGAGGGAGAGAGAGAGAAGTATCAGATTCCTGTTTTCTGCTGATACTATGGGGCCAGCAGAGGTGAGGGGGCAGTTTTTTCATAGTGCTCAGATGAAGTAGGGTGGGTATTGCCAACAAGATTTTCTTTCCTTCCTTTATTAGTAGTTTCATGGTTTTAGATCTTATGTAAGACCAATAAAAGACTTTGAATTAATTTTTCAGTAGGGTGTTATGGGTAATTTTTTGTATCCTATCTAATAAAGAGGTAATATGCAAATTGGCCATCACTCCAACACACAAGATGGCCACCCCCATGTGGTCAAAGATGGCCGCCAGAAGATGGCCTGCAAGGGAAGGCAGTTGTGGGGAGACCAGGCCTGCAGGGGAGGGCAGTTAGGGGCAATCAGGCTGGCAAGGGAGCAGTTAGGCATTGTTCAGGCAGGCAAGGGAGCGATTAGGGGGTGATCAGGCTGGCAGGAAGAAGCGTTTAGGGGCAATCAGGCAGGCAGGCAGGTGAGCGGTTGGGAGCCAGCAGTCCCGGATTGTGAGAGGGATGTCCCACTGCTGGTTTAGGCCCGATCCTACAGGGACATCCCTCGAGGGATCCCAGATTGGAGAGGGTGCAGGCTGGGCTGAGGGACACACACCCCCGTGCACAAATTTTGTGCACTGGGCCTCTAGTATGATATATAACTATTCCAATACAATTTATTGAAAAGTTGATTTTTTCCCATTGAATTTTTTGGCACCTTTGTTGAAAATCAATTGACCACATAAATGTGATGCTTTGTCCTGATTCTCAATTCTGTTCCACTAATCTATCCTTATGCCAATACCTTATGCCAATATTGTCTTCATTACTGTTTTCTACTTATTTGTTTTTTAAAAATGACTTTATTGATATAACTGACATACAATAGACTGCATGTGTTTAAAGTGTACAGTTTGATAAGTTTTGAAAATGTATGCACCCATGAAATGATCACCACGTTCAAGAGAATGAATATATCCATCATTCCCCAAAGTTTCCTTATGTTCCTTTGTAATTCTTCCCTTCTGCCACTCCCTCCCTATGTCCATGAATTACTGATCTTTTTTTCTGTTGCTACAGATTTGTTTTTAATTGATAGATTTTTTTTTTTTTGGTAAGTGGAATGATCAAATAGGTATTCTGTATCTGGATTCTTTCACTTGGCATAATTGTTTGAAAATTCTTCTATGTTGTTATGTTTATCAGTAGTTGATTCCTTTTTATTCCCAAGGAGTATTCCTTTATATAAATATACCACATTTTATTTATCTACTTATCTGTTGATAGACACTTTCCCGGGCTTATGGCTAATTACAAATAATGATGTTTTGAACATTCATGTACAAGTGTCTGTATAGACATGGACTGTCATTTCTCTTGGGTAAAATATAAGAGTGGAATAGCAGGGTGATATGCTAGATGTATATTTAACATTTAAAATATTTCCAAATGATTTTTAAGTAGCTGTAACATATTTATATTACCACCACCAATATATCAGAGTTCTAATACCTCTGTATCTTGGGCAACACTTGGTATGGTCAATTTTTATTTTAGTTATTTTAATAGATGTGTGGTTTTATTTTGCATTTCCCTAATAACTGGTGATATTGAGCTTCTTTTTATGTGCTAATTGGCCATCTGTATATCTTCTTTGGTAAAGTTTCCATTCAAATAATTTGTCCATTTAAAAAAATGGGTTATTTTCTTATTATTGAGTTTTAAGAGTTCTTTATATAACCTAGATATGTCCTTTATCAAACATGTGTTCTACACATTTTATTCCAGCCTATATTTTGTCTTTTTATTTTCTTAACAGTGTCTTTGAAGAGGACAAATTCTTAATTTTAATGAAGTCAAATTATCTTTTTTTTTTTCCTTACAGATCATACTTTTGGTGTTGCATCTAGGAAATCCTTGCTTAACTCAAGGCCCCTCTTCTTCAGAGAAGAAATCTGAGCATTAGAGATGATTCATCCCAATTCTCACAGCTGCATTGTTGCAGAGCCGTGAGTAGAAGCCACCTCTTCTGTGCAGTCTCTAAGGAGAGGCTACCTGGGCTCGGTGTCTTTCTTATACTTCTTTCCAGGTCTTTCAAGTTATAGATTTTGTAACACCACCATTTCCTCATTAATCCAGGGTTTAACATTCGAATTACATTTCACTCATGCCTCTTAACATGTTTTATATAGCATTAATTATAAATATTGTCCTTTCTCTTTGGAATGGTTGTCAGTAGACTTGAGTTTGAATTACAACTCTGATAATCACATTATCTGTGATCTGAGTCTCTCTAGAATTCTGGGTCTTTCTCTTTAAAATATAGGGATTATACCTTATGCACAGAATTTTTGTAAAGATTGAATGAAGAACACAGACAGTAGCTGTATAAGTACCAAGCAAATGTAGTTGCTGTTCATTTTCTCCAATCTTGATTTCAGGAACAAAAAAGAGCAATGAAATTAGAGCATAGTGACAGGAACAGAGAGTTAGAAAAGAAGACGAAGCGCCCTGACCGGTTTGGCTCAGTGGATGGAGCATCAGCTTGCGGACTGGGGGGTCCCAGGTTCGGTTCCGGTCAGGGGCATGTGCCTCGGTTGTGGGCACGTCCCCGGTGGGGGTGTGCAAGTGGATGGAGCGTCGGCCTGCAGACTGGGGGGGTCCCAGGTTCGGTTCTGCTCAGGGGCATGTGCCTTGGTTGCGGGCTCGTCCCAAGTGGGGGTGTGCAGGGGGCGGCTGATCGATGTTTCTCTCTCATCGATGTTTCTAACTCTCTGTCCCTCTCCCTTCCTCTCTGTAAAAAATCAATAAAATATATTAAAAAAAGAAAAGAAAAGAAGACGAAGCAGTTAACTGGGTCCACATCTTTTAGGTCCTTGAAGTTTCTGGTAAGGTGTTTGGATTTTATTTCTAGTGCATTGGGGAGCCATTTGAAGGCAATTAAACAGGGGGCTGAAATGATCTGATTTTAGATGAAAAGAAAAAAGGATTATTGTGTCAGCTCTCTGAATTGCAGATAGGGCTTGGTCAGGAGACCAATTGTATCTATTGTAATCATCTGGATGAGAGCTGAGTGTGAACTGGACCAGAGTGGTAGCAAAGGAAAGGGAGAGTAGATAGAT